ACATCTAAGAATGGTAGCTTGCCATCTTTCTCCACTTCCATGGTTAATTTGATGGCGTGATGTCTGGAATTGATGTGGTGTAGGAAAAGGTTCAGAGCTGGGAGGCCATGTGGCCAAATGACGAAAGTGGCCACATGGCCTCCCAGCTATGAACCTTTTCCTACACCACATCAATTCCGGACAAGCTCTAGAGCTTTTAACAGACAACGGGACAAGAAGTCACAGCTCATCGAGACGCTGACCTTCCTCAAAAGATGCCGCGATCACAAGGTAATACCCATCGCTTTCACACTCACTTCTGCTGCTGTATCTTCTCCGAATTCTAAACAGATTCTGCTTAAGGCCAGCCTATCTTTAATCTCAGAGAGGATAAGGCTACTCCGATTTGAACTCGATACTTTAGACAGGACTCTCCTACAAGCTCATTTAATGTTAACACAAAAAATGTCACCTTCTGATTGGAATCACGTAGACAACATGACTGATTCTTCTGCTGAGTCACTGTCAGTCAAATGTAAAGCTAACCTGATTTATAAATTCAACCACCTATCAAAGAAGAACCCAGTTCCACATATAACAAAACTAAATGTTAACAAAATCGTCATTAATCAGAGTAGCACCCCGATTTCGGACAATCTTAAAACAGTACTGGCTAGGGGACTAAATTTTGCTGTCACCCCAAAACACATACCAATATATGATATCATCTCTCAGGTCGATGTAGCCCTCAAAGGCGTAGGACACATCCAAGCAGACGTTGCGAGAGCTGAAATAGCCACTATTCTTAAGAATGCTAAGCAACCCATTAGTAACATTAGCAAAAATGAACGCTCTGAACTCGCGAATTTAAAAAAACAGAAGTGATATAGTCATCCTCTCAGCCAATAAAGGCAACGCTACTGTTATTATGGATAAAGATTTATACAACAACAAAATTCAGAATATGCTCAACGATGGAAGTTACTCAAAAATAAAAAATGACCCTACTAATAGCCTAGCGATAAAAACCAACAAGATCATCACAAGTTCGACCTCCTTAATCGACCCAACTAAACGTCCCTCCCTAAAACCTTCTGCTGCAAGACCTCCTAGATTCTATGGTCTTCCCAAGATTCATAAAGAAGGCACTCCAATTCGACCCATCGTATCCACGATCAACTCCCCTACCTATAGACTAGCCCGTTTTCTGTCAGATACCTTGCTGCCTTTCACTGGCAAGACCGCCTCAGCAGTACTTAACTCAGCCCAATTGGTCTCTATTGTCAAAGACGTTGTACTGTCCCCTGACGATATCCTTGTCAGCTTCGATGTGGTCTCTTTGTTCACCAAGGTCCCAGTACCTGATACCATTGAAATAATTGAAAATTTGGTCCAACATGGACTAGACCCCGACACACCTGCACTGGTTAGGCACTGCCTCAACAATACCTACTTTACTTGGAATGGCTCCTTCTACAAACAAAATGAGGGTACCCCCATGGGATCCCCCTTATCACCAGTGATAGCCAATATTTTCCTGGAGAAATTTGAATCAGACACCATCCAGACTTCCACCCTCAGACCTTCCCTGTGGAAGAGATGTGTGGATGACACTTTCGTCATTTGGCCACATGGCCTCCCAGCTCTGAACCTTTTCCTACACCACATCAATTCCAGACATCCCGCCATCAAATTCACCATGGAAGTGGAGAAAGATGGCAAGCTACCATTCTTAGATGTTCTGTTTGAGAGGAGACCTGATGGCTCATTGGGGCATTCTGTCTACAGGAAACCCACCAACACAGATTCCTATTTGAAACCTGATTCCCACCACCACCCAGCCCAAAAGAATTCTCTCATCAAAACTTTATACCATAGGGCTCATTGCATTTCGGACCAACACCACCTGACCAGTGAATTAAAACATGTACACCTGGCCCTCAAAATGAATGGTTACTCTGACCGTACCATCGGCCAAGCTGTTTCTCCCTCCATACAGAAACAACCACTTGATACTCCGGTCAAAACCATCACACTTCCATATATAGCAGGCGTTACTAACAAGATTTCCAAAATTCTAAACAAACACAAGATCCAGGTCCGGTTCAATACAGTACACAAAATTCGTGATCTGATCCCATCCGTGAAGGATGTCATTCCTGATTTACAGCACCCCGGGGTTTACAAATTGAGTTGTACCTGCAGTGATTGCTATATCGGGGAGACAAAGCGACATGTCTCTGACCAAATTTGCGAGCACAAATTAGAGTTGAAACACGGCAAAACGAATTCTTCTACCGTGGCTGATCATTGTTACAACGCTGTGGGGGATCACGATATAATTTTCTCCGATACCAAGGTTCTTTGCAAACCCACGGGCTTTTATCAGAGATTTCTTCATGAAGCAATTCAGATCTACAAACACAGACACAATTTCAACCGAGAGGATGGTTTCAAATTAAGCAACCATTGGAAAGATGTTCTAAATCGAACTAAACATTAAACTAATTTCAATGGTACAGTATATTTTTTTCAAGTAGTGGAACCCCAAACTTTCGCAGCTCTTATAAATTCGCTTTTCACACCATCAATTGGTAAACTCCCCCCCCCCCCCCCGCGCCAAACGGCAAGTCCACCGGCACGTACACCACCTCTTTCCTAAAATCCGCCAATCAAATGCTAATTTTTATGCTAATTTCTTTGTCAGAACACCTTGTTTGCTCGCACACAGTTTAAAGGTCCGCTGTCTGCACGTGGTTGTGTTTCGCTAAATTCTCCTGTTTGATGAGTACTAGGTGCCTCGGTGAATGTATATGCTCTAACTTTAACATAGCTATTTCTGTGACCAGTTACAAGCTAATCACTCAGCTATTTCAATGCTAAATTCTATGCTAATTCCTTTGTCAAGGGGTACCTCTGCGGATGTGTATACTTTAACTTAGCTATTTTAATGAGCCATTTCAATGCTAAATCATATATGCTAATTCCTTTGTCAAGGGGTACTTCTGCGGATGTGTATATTTTAACTTAGCTATTTCAATGAGCCATTTCAATGCTAAATTATATGCTAATTCCTTTGTCAAGGGGTACTTCTGCGGATGTGTATATTTTAACTTAGCTATTTTAATGAGCCATTTCAATGCTAAATTATATGCTAATTCCTTTGTCAAGGGGTACTTCTGCGGATGTGTATATTTTAACTTAGCTATTTCAATGAGCTATTTCAATGCTAAATTCTATGCTAATTCCTTTGTCAAGGCGCTTTGTGTTTTTCTTCTCACACAGCTTAAAGGTCGTGATCTAAGCATGGCTTCTCTCACTCCAGCGCTGTCCTCCAGACAGTCTCGTCCCTTTACCTGATGAAGGCCGCTTGTGTTGTGGCCGAAACGTCGTGATTTTTTGTTATTTTATTTTCACCTACGTGACTTTACCCAATAGAACCAAAGTGTAAAGACTTAATTTGTTCACTCTTGCTGGTTACTCTTGGCAACCATATTGTTTACCATCACTTAGTTTAGAAAGGTATTTTATAACGTTCTAGGTTACCGTATATTTACATTTTATCGTAGTTATTTTTATATTCGCAGATTCACGCAACATGATTATTCACCGATGACTCTTCACGTATGATAGAATTCCAGATATTTATAAATCATCTCGCGTACCCCCCTGGGACATTGCCACGTGTACCCCCCAGGGGACCACGTACCCCCGGTTGAGAACCACCACTCCATGGGGCAGGGCTTCCCCAAATGCAGTCCCCGCAACCAACCGACCGACCAACAGCCACCACGCTCTGTCCTTCACGCGGAGAATCAATTCACGCGACCACGGGGAGGACGTGCAAACTCCACATATATACAGGCGTCAGGGTCGGGATCGAACCCCCGATCTCCTGCATACCAGGCGAGGAGGATAGCATCTCGTCACAGTGGCACCCCTTCAATAAATAAAGTAGACAAGTTCAGCTTGCACCATCAGTTCCGACCCTTATACTCGAGAGATGAGCGGGGGAGGAGCAGGGGGGGGGACACGCAGCGGGGATTAGACAAACAAAAGGGGGACCACTTTTGTCAACGCAGAACGTTGCGCAATATTTTCGTATTCTGCTGAAGCGCAAGGTGTGGTGGTCTCGTCGTTGCGCTGTCCGCGGGGACTCGAAGCGAACGTCGCAGCCCCGAATGACCTCTCTCCGAGCGAGAGGACGAACCCCGCGCAGCAGCGCGGTGTCGGTCAGAGGGCCGCGACGATGCCTGCTGTGTATTTGCGTGTGACGAGATGTTAACTACCTCGCCTGGTATACAGGAAGTCGTGGGTTACATCCCGACACTGATGATGCCTGTTGCATGTTTGTAGTTTGCATGTCTGTCCCTCCCCCTCCCCGTGCTTGTGTGGATTTTTCTTCCGTGACCTCCGGTTTTTTTGCTCTCCACGTTTAAAAACACGCGTTTAGTAGTAGTAGGAAAGCAACTGCAATTTGTATTTTTACCAGGTAAAAGCCCACTGAGCCAAATACATAGCTCTTTTTAAGAAGCTACCTGGACATGACGAATGATGGCTCAAGGAAGTGGCCTCTCGTCACGCCATGCGCTTTAGCAGAATTCAAAAAAATGCAAAATATCCATTGCGCAAATTCTGTCTAAATCGCTGTGGCACCGGTGACCAATGAGTGCCACCGCTTTTTTCCACTCTACGCTGTGGCCCCCCACCCCCTCATCCCTCGATTACTTCAAATGCCCAGGCGCCCACGCAGGTCCGGCTCACAGCACCTATGCTGCTCCCCTCACCGTTTGCGCCCAGAACGATCGCAAACACGAACAATTTGAACATTTGAACAAAATACATTTTCATTATTTTTTGGTTGTTTGCTGTTAACCTTCGCCGGCTTATATTTTAAAATTTGGCCCCAGCATTTATTTTTGCTCAAAGTTTTTGAGTTTTACTATCCGAAATAAATTAATTTTTACCACTAACATTTGTAGTCGACTTAAACGCCGCGGCCTCGTCTCTCTCTGCGAATGATGGAGGCGCTGCTGGCTGTGTGGATGGTGGGGTTGGTGGGTCTGCACGGAACTCAGGGCTTCCCTGGTGGAGCGCCATCATCTGCCTGCACCGATATGGTTCCACAGCACGACCCCAACACACTGACCGGCACATCCTACTCCATCGTCACCAACAGCAGCACCTTCACCTCTGGCACCAAGGTTAACGGTGAGTGAATGACCCCACCACCCACCACCACCCCGACACAACTCCCTCCGCTCGTCGACTGTCCGTACGTTGAGCTTCTTTCACACCGTACGTAGCCAACCGTGCTAGTCGCAGGTGCGGATTCCTCCAGCCCGTATCAAGGACTCAGTCGACTGGACTGACCGCTCCTCATCTGCACGGCGTTCAACCACCACGGACCGCTCACTCACTCAGCTATAGAGTTGCTTGGCAAACGAGCAGACGCTACTGAGTTGTACTCTACTCAATTACGACAGGGCAGCCTCGATTTACGATTATTAGTTCGTCATTAAAGCTTTCGTGACTGCAAGGATTCATCTTCTTTGGTTCTTTCGGTAAAGTCACGTAGAATGAGAATAAAATAATAAAATAACGCAATACAATTCTCACGACGTTTCGGCCACAACACAAGTAGCCTTCTTCAGGTGAAGGAACAGAACTGTCGGGACGAAGCTCTGTCGTCCGACAGTTCTGTTCCTTCACCTGAAGAAGGCTACTTGTGTTGTGGCCGAAACGTCGTGAGAATTTTATCGTGTTATTTTATTTTATTAGTTTATTATTTTATTCTCATTCTACGTGACTCTACCGAAAGAACCAACGAAGATTAGTTCGTAAGTCAAAACGTAATAGCGTACCGTATTGGACACACGATCATTGCTATGCAATTTGTTACGGTTCAACAAAAAAGGGAAGCAGTTAAACTAATGGAGAATAAATATTGTACATTTGCATGTAACACTGTGAACAAAACTACTGTACAGTAAAAATAAACGCAAAATAAAGTAACATAACATGTACAAATTCCGTTTATTTTCACTTACCTTGAGTCCTGATGCTGGTGTGCTTGTCGGAAGGGACGCAATTAGTCACCAAAATTGCACTCACACAGACACACGGGGCGCACACACAGATGCACACACAGACACACACACAGGGCATGCACGCACACACATAAACACACACAGGATACGTACGCACACACACTCCACCGATCCCCCACTTAGCTTTAACACATTGTTGGAGAGCAGCGCCTATGAAGGCCGGCACGGCACACGAGGGGGTGAGTGGGAAGCACCACGCCCGGCCGCCTTCGTCTCCGTGGTAGAAATATTTACACACTGCACCAGGCACTCATTTGGGGCTGAGTCGACCTCGGGGAGGCCAAGGAGCGGTTCGGATTATCGCCACCGGTGTTGGCCGTGAGCGGAAATCGAACTCGGGTCACCGGATTCATAGCGCAGCGCGCTAACCAATGCGCCACCGCAACCCATACACACACCGCCCTCTCTCTCACACACACACACACACTTTCACACACACACGCTCTCTCTCACACACACACTTTCACATACGCACAAACACTCCCAGCGCAAGATTGACCCATGACATCTCGCGCAGGATCGCTCCGCCGAACAAAATTGTTCCCGTGGATCAGTTTGCAAGTGCGAGTTCGCGTTTTAAGTCAACGTCAAAATAAATATATTTCATGGAAGCTAGTTCGTACGTCGGGTGTTCGTAAATGCTCTTAAGTTGAGGACTGTCTGTGTTTCGTACATTTCCTTTGGACATGGGGGATGGTTGATATGCACTGTATCGACATTTGGTGCCAGGACTGTTGAATTTCAATACCGCAGTGCTCTGTGTGTTATCCCCCCCGACGACCCATTTGGGAGATCCAAAGTTGTGACGGACGGACTTTTGCAAATGATCATGAACAAAGAAATGGCGGAGTTCTGATAGAACCTCGCGCTGAGAAAAATGTCTGCGTGGAGTCTCCAGTGGCTAAGCCGACTTGTCCCCTAGAGCCCGGTCCGTCTCCAATTCAAGAGAGCGCTGGGCTTAAAATCGCGGGGAATTTAAAACGAACCGGATTGTCCACTTTTACTGTGGAGTCATCCCAGCCACAGCTCGTGTCACGAAAGGGGCGAGAAGCGCGACAGCCGAGCTAAGGTGGTGGGGGGGCTGCGAGCGTCTCACAAATTGTCGCCTCCTTGTGTCTGTCCGCAGTCACCATCGTGGGCACCTTCAAGGGCTACTTCCTGCAAGCGCGAATACCCAACACCACGACCATCGTGGGCACATGGGACACCCCACCTGCAGACAACATCTTCGTGCCGGTGACTCATCCCTTGGTTGACATCATCCTCATGAATTTCGATTTAAAGCTTTCGTGACTGCAAGGATTCATCTTCTTTGGTTCTTTCGGTAAAGTCACGTAGAATGATAATAAAATAATAAATTGATAAAATAAAATAACACAATAATATTCTCACGACGTTTCGGCCACAACACAAGCAGCCTTCATCAGGTGAAGGGACGAGACTGTCTGGAGGACAGCGCTGGAGAGACTTTACCGAAAGAACCAAAGAAGATCATCCTCATAATCACGATCCATGGGCAGATAGCCCGGAGGTGTCCACTGCACATCTCGTCATGTTTCCACTTGCCTCTGTCTTGCGCAACTTGCTCAAGTAGTAGCCACATCTTGCTAGCACCAATCTCTTATGTCGTCGTCAAGCCATTGTCTGAGGTCTTTCTCTCGTTCTTGTTCCTTTCATATTTCTGAACAACACTTTTAATTTCCATCCTACATGTTGTGTGCCCACAGTGCCAGTTTCCTTCTCATCACCGCCTACGTTAGTCACTCTTTGGGTCCTGCCATCACTCCTTTTGGTTCTTGATCCTCACTCTTGGCGGATGTCGTTTAATCTGCCACCACCCGACACAGCCAATTAGTGAGGTTTGTCAAGTATCAAAACATGGCAATTCGTAACGAAATGAATAGAATGTGGTGGGTGGTTAATGCGCGGGTTCGGGATGTTTCAGGCTGGACAATGGCCCTTTCTAAGCACGCAAAGCCCCTTTAACTCAAGGCGAGGTAAGGGACGGGGGATAAACACGGCTGGGGCACGTGGTCATCCTGTGCACGTTTCCATCATTGCCAACCCGGTCTGGGCTGTACAACAGCCAACAAAGGGCTCCATAGGCTCATTGGGTTCATTCCAGCTTCAATAACAATGTCCATTGTCGTTTTGTTTCTGTGTCTCGCAGTGCAATTCCGTGCCAAAGGCCGCGGTGACGCACTCCACCAGCACGTCCAAGACGAACCTGAGCTTGTTTTGGATCCCGCCGACTACAAACCCTCCCAGCTCCGTAGTGTTTGTGTGAGTTCACCGTCACAGGGCACTCTTACGCACACAGCCCACTGGATTATTATGGATATTAGTACTAATTACACGCCACAGTGGCTACGAGATGTTAACTACCTTCGCCTGGTATACAGGAAGCTGTGGGTTCGATCCCGACCCCGACGCCTATATATTTGGAGTGTGCATGTCTCTCTCAATGTGGTCAGGTGGATTTTTCTCCGGGTCCTCCAGTTTTTCCCTCCACATTTAGAATGGCCACATATTTAGAGTATTTGGCTGCTATTAATTTCCACATCAGCCACTTCGATGAGGTATCATTTGTGGCCAGATCGCTTCTGCAAAATATCCATATAGCTCAATGGGTCTTATACCAGGTAAATAAAAATATGATTGGTATAAGGAATGCCTAGAGAACCCTATGAAGGGATACGGTGAGTCCGCGCTTAATGCGTGACGGTGTTCACACTACAACGCGTTTTCGCTATAACACGGTTCTTCCGTTAGGGAACGTTTATGTTGCCGTTATGTGATGTTATAACGCGGAACGTGCCCCATTATAACGCGGAACGTGCCTGGTACAACGCGGAGACCGGTAGGGAAGACAAAAGGAGATTGGTGGAGAGGCCTTTAAGGTTCCAGAAAGGACAGAGAAGAGGACAAAAGGAGCGGGTAGAAGGGGTTCGGTGTGGTGCATTGTAACGGAGCAATTCCCTGAAGCGTTTTGGAATGTGTTGAGGTGACAGAGTTCACGTTCAAAGGCTTACCTTGGACTGCAACTCCCTTACTTTAATATTACTCCGCTTGTCTACCTGGGAGAGTCTCGCCAAATCTCAAGACCCTTTTCTCAGGAGGGTCCTGTCAAAGTTTCGCATCTAGGGGGTAAGATCCTGCTCTACGTCATCTCCACCGAGTAATCTCCGGTTATTTGGTTTTAAATATCGGCGTTTTTTGGCCACTAAGCGGTTGCATTGTCCTTAGATGGACGTCCTCTCCCCAAGAACATTGGGGATTGGTTCCACGCGACGACTTTTGTTTATGATTCCACATCGGCGACTCCATGGAGGTGTAGCCGGTCCTCGTTACTTGGGGGACAGGTCGGCTAAATAGACAACAAAGATCAGAGAGTTCTGAGACGATGACGAGAAGACACTCTGCGTTGTGTTCTGAGAAGTGGGAGACTCCACAAGAAATGAGCACCAGAGGTTATTTCAGAGCGTTCTTCTGAGGGGCGTTTGCGTGCCAGCCACCATGACCAGACACGCCCCCTATCACCCTCCACGTCACGAAACACCTCAGCTCAGTCCCTCAGGAAAGTCCGCCCCATACTCTGAATAGTCGACACACTGCTGGGCATGGCCTGCTGTGCACGTGAGGCTTGGGGTCCCTAAAGTGAGGGAAAAAAGTATTTGATCCCCTGCTGATTTTGTACGTTTGCCCACTGACAAAGAAATGATCAGTCTATAATTTTAATGGTAGGTTTATTTGAACAGTGTGAGACAGAATAACAACAAAAAATCCAGAAAAATACATGTCAAAGATCTTATAAATTGATTTGCATTTTAATGAGGGAAATAAGTATTTGACCCCCTCTCAATCAGAAAGATTTCTGGCTCCCAGGTGTCTTTTATACAGGTAACGAGCTGAAATTAGGAGCACACTCTTAAAGGGAGTGCTCCTAATCTCAGCTTGTTACCTGTATAAAAGACTCCTGTCCACAGAAGCAATCAATCAATCAGATTCCAAACTCTCCACCATGGCCAAGACCAAAGAGCTCTCCAAGGATGTCAGGGACAAGATTGTAGACCTACACAAGGCTGGAATGGGCTACAAGACCATTGCCAAGCAGCTTGGTGAGAAGGTGACAACAGTTGGTGCGATTATTCGCAAATGGAAGAAACACAAAAGAACTGTCAATCTCCCTCGACCTGGGACTCCATGCAAGATCTCACCTCGTGGAGTTGCAATGATCATGAGAACGGTGAGGAATCAGCCCAGAACTACACGGGAGGATCTTGTGAATGATCTCAAGGCAGCTGGGACCATAGTCACCAAGATAACAATTGGTAACACACTACACCGTGAAGGACTGAAATCCTGCAGCACCCGCAAGGTCCTCCTGCTCAAGAAAGCACATATACATGCCCGTCTGAAGTTTGCCAATGAACATCTGAATGATTCAGAAGACAACTGGGTGAAAGTGTTGTGGTCAAATGAAACCAAAATGGAGCTCTTTGGCATCAACTCAACTCGCCGTGTTTGGAGGAGGAGGAGGAATGCTGCCTATGACCCCAAGAACACCATCCCCACCGTCATACATGGAGGTGGAAACATTATGCTTTGGGGGTGTTTTTCTGCTAAGGGGACAGGACAACTTCACCGCATCAAAGGGACGATGGACGGGGCCATGTACCGTCAAATCTTGGGTGAGAACCTCCTTCCCTCAGCCAGGGCATTGAAAATGGGTCGTGGATGGGTATTCCAGCATGACAATGACCCAAAACACACGGCCAAGGCAACAAAGGAGTGGCTCAAGAAGAAGCACATTAAGGTCCTGGAGAGGCCTAGCCAGTCTCCAGACCTTTATCCCATAGAAAATCTGTGGAGGGAGCTGAAGGTTCGAGTTGCCAAACGTCAGCCTCGAAACCTTAATTACTCGAAGATCTGCAAAGAGGAGTGGGACAAAATCCCTTCTGAGATGTGTGCAAACCTGGTGGCCAACTTCAAGAAACGTCTGACCTCTGTGATTGCCAACAAGGGTTTTGCCACCAAGTACTAAGTCATGTTTTGCAGATGGGTCAAATACTTATTTCCCTCATTAAAATGCAAATCAATTTATAAAATTTTTGACATGCGTTTTTCTGGATTTTTTTGTTGTTATTCTGTCTCTCACTGTTCAAATAAACGTACCATTAAAAATATAGACTGATCATTTCTTTGTCAGTGGGCAAATGTAGACAATCAGCAGGGGTACAAATACTTTTTTCCCTCACTGTATCTCTGATCATCACCGTCACTTATACTAAAAAAACAGCTGACTCTCTGTAGCAATCACAGCAACACATAGCAGCAGTGCACAATTGTACGTAAGATTCATCACGTGTAAGCTCACACTGGCGACTCTGTGGAGGCGACGCCTCAAGTTGTTACACGCTTGACCTGTGTGTCCACCCCACAGAGCGACCGTGGTCAAGACGGAACCCGAATGGCAAATGAACGTGCAGTCGTTAAAGGTCAATGCCTCAGGTGAGTTCACGAGTGCAGTGGTGGTCCACCCACAAGTGGCTGGGATTGATTTCCCACTCGGGTGCCTTTCCGTGTGTTGGTCTGTAACTTCCCCCCTCATCTGCATGGGTTTCCTCTGAGTGCTCCGTTTTCTTCCAATGTGACTGGTATTGGTCAAGCATCTCAATGTGGACAGAAAATTACCTGCAACATGTCCCGCTCCTGAAACACAAACATCACCCATATAGCCTTCGACTGGTCGGGTAAGTGTTGTTAGCGAGTAGCAACAACTCTGAAGGCCGGTACCGTGGCACACAAGGGAGTGGGTGGCCAGAACCACGCCTGGTCGCTTTTGTTTCCCTAGCCGCAATGTTTCACACAACACCAGGTACTCATTTGAGGGTGAGTCGACCTAGGGGAGGCACAGGAACAGTTCAGATAATTGTCACCGGTGTTGATGGGCATGAGCAGGAAACAAACGCGGGTCGCCAGGTTCGCAGCGCATCACGCTAACTGCCAAATACCGCTTCCCCAACTCATAAACTACCGTGACAGGCAGCGCCTACCTTCACACGAGCCTTGTGAAGTATGGCGCAACCACCAAATTAACTCCATTATATTAACGATCGCATGGCAACCGCCTTTGGGTGGCCCTCGTGACCTCTGGAAATCACCCAGAGACCTGCTCCATGCCGGCAGCGCCCAGTCACAATGATCCACCGGCGCCATCGAAGCCCACAAACCTCCTTCCGCACGTACGTCAGCGACAAAACCTCGTGCTCACGCGTGTGCGAGGGCCCAGAGAAACCCCAACATGTGTATCCAGGGGACAACACTCTGTCTCATACAGATGGGCCAGATAGGTAATACTACAGTCCGCACCTTGCTGTGCCACCTTCTCCTGGTGAGCCAAGGATATGGGGGCACCTCCTCGACATCCATGTGGAGGGAGTTTTACAATGTTTGTGTGTGACACCTGAACCTCCGATAAGCATGGTTGGCTATGTACGGTGCGAAAGAAGCTCAACATACATACGTGGTCCACCAACTCTCGTTGACTCCACAGCGCTGGATCGCAGGCATGCATAGCCACAATACCAGGCCTTGCAAGTCGTGGATAAGGCTTAACATGCAAAAACTCTCTATTTTGTGTGAGAGGAGCGATGACAATATTTACAAAAAATCTCATTCCCTTGTGTGTGCTGCAGGTTATGTAGCCACAACCAAGCCACCAGCTAAGACCACAACCAAGCAACCAGCTAAGACCTCAACCAAGCCACCAGCTAATTCCACAATCAATCCAACAACTAAGACCTCAACCAAGCCACCAGCTAAGACCTCAATCAAGCCACAGGCTAATTCCACAATCAATCCAACAACTAAGACCTCAACCAAGCCACCAGCTAATTCCACAACCAAGCCAACAACTAAGACCACAACCAAGCCAGGCAACTCTGCCGGGCGTGCGGCCCTCGCCATGTCTGGGCTCTCCCTGGGCGCGCTGCTCGTCGTCGTCACAGCCGTGTGCTGTCGTTGATTCCACCGGCGAAGTCACGGAGTTCCTTGAGTGCGTGCAATGGTCCGGAGTGGTGATGAAATGTTGGTGGGGTGGTGGGGGGGGGCAGTGGGCCGGGTTTCTAAAGTGAAACCATTCCACCAATTCCGTCCATTTGTGGGTTCTGAGGGAAGGTGTTGTCTGGGTTACATCTAAATCATTAAATAATATTCTAAAATTAATCATTGTCATCGTCGTCATTGTCTATGGCAGTTGTTCTCAACCTTATGTTGCTGCTACTGTTACCCTACTCGTTGAATTTTGTCTCAACTGAGCACTTTGCCCGACCCAATACGGTTCTAAGATATAAATGTATGAATAATGAGCGTAAATATTTTAATCATTTGTCCATTTCGTGATGTATCTTTAAGTAGCTAGTAACTGCAAAGCAAGACTTAATTTTAGATTTAAAGCTTTCGTGACTGCTAGGATCCATACTCTTTGGTTCTATTGGGTAAAGTCACGTAGGTGAAAATAAAATAACAAAAAATCACGACGTTTTAGCCACAACACAAGCGGCCTTCATCAGGTAAAGGGACGACACTGTCTGGAGGACAGCGCTGGAGTAAGAGAAGCCATGCTTAGATCACGACCTTTAAGCTGTGTGAGAAGAAAACCACAAAGCGCCTTGACAAAGGAATTAGCATATAATTTAGCATTGAAATGGCTCATTGAAATAGCTAAGTTAAAGTATACACATCCGCAGAGGTACCCCTTGACAAAGGAATTAGCATAGAATTTAGCATTGAAATAGCTGAGTGATTAGCTTGTAACTGGTCACAGAAATAGCTATGTTAAAGTCAGAGCATATACATTCACCGAGGCACCTAGTACTCATCAAACAGGAGAATTTAGCGAAACACAACCACGCTCAGACAGCGGACCTTTAAACTGTGTGCGAGCAAACAAGGTGTTCTGACAAAGAAATTAGCATAAAAATTAGCATTTGATTGGCGGATTTTAGGAAATAGGTGGTGTACGTGCCGGTGGACTTGCCGTTTGGTGCGGGGGGAGGGGGAAGGGGGGGGGAGAGGGAGTTTACCTATTGATGGTGTGAAAAGGGAATTTATAAGAGCTGCGAAAGTTTGGGGTACCACTACTTGAAAAAATATACTGTACCATTGAAATTAGTTTAATGTTTAGTTCGATTTAGAACATCTTTCCAATGGTTGCTTAATTTGAAACCATCCTCTCGGTTGAAATTGTGTCTGTGTTTGTAGATCTGAATTACTTCATGAACAAATCTCTGATAAAAGCCCATGGGTTTGCAAAGAACCTTGGTATCGGAGAAAATTATATCGTGATCCCCCACAGCGTTGTAACAGTGATCAACCACGGTAGAAGAATTCGCTTTGCCGTGTTTCAAATCTGATTTGTGCTCGCGAATTCGGTCAGAGACATGTCGCTTTGTCTCCCCGATATAGCAATCACCGCAGGTACAACTCAATTTGTAAACCCCGGGGTACTGTAAATCAGGAATGACATCCTTCACAGATGGGATCAGATCACGAATTTTGTGTACTGTATTGAACCGGACCTGGATCTTGTGTTTGTTTAGAATTTTGGAAATCTTTTTAGTAACGCCTGCTATATATGGAAGTGTGATGGTTTTGACCGGAGTATCAAGTGGTTGTTTCTGTATGGAGGGAGAAACAGCTTGGCGGATGGTACGGTCAGAGTAACCATTCCTTTTGAGGGCCAGGTGTACATGTTTTAATTCACTGGTCAGGTGGTGTTGGTCCGAAATGCAATGAGCCCTATGGTATAAAGTTTTTATGAGAGAATTCTTTTGGGCTGGGTGGTGGTGGGAATCAGGTTTCAAGTAGGAATCTGTGTGGGTGGGTTTCCTGTAGACAGAATGCCCCAATGAGCCATCAGGTCTCCTCTCAAACAGAACATCTAAGAATGGTAGCTTGCCATCTTTCGCCACTTCCATGGTGAATTTGATGGCGGGATGTCTGGAATTGATGTGGTGTAGGAAAAGGTTCAGAGCTGGGAGGCCATGTGGCCAAAGGACGAAAGTGTCATCCACATATCTCTTCCACAGGGAAGGTCTGAGGGTGGAAGTCTGGATGGCGTCTGATTCAAATTTCTCCATGAAAATATTGGCTATCACTGGTGATAAGGGGGATCCCATGGGGGTACCCTCATTTTGTTTGTAGAAGGAGCCATTCCAAGTAAAGTAGGTATTGTTGAGGCAGTGCCTAACCAGTGCAGGTGTGTCGGGGTCTAGTCCATGTTGGACCAAATTTTCAATTATTTCAATGGTATCAGGTACTGGGACCTTGGTGAACAAAGAGACCACATCGAAGCTTACAAGGATATCGTCAGGGGACAGTACAACATCTCTGACCATAGAGACCAATTGGGCTGAGTTAAGTACTGCTGAGGCGGTCTTGCCAGTGAAAGGCAGTGAGGTATCTGACAGAAAACGGGCTAGTCTATAGGTAGGGGAGTTGATCGTGGATATGATGGGTCGAAGTGGGGTGCCTTCTTTATGAATCTTGGGAATACCATAGAATCCAGGGGTCTTGCAGCAGAAGGTTATAGGGAGGGACGTTTAGTTGGGTCGATTAGGGAGGTCGAACTTGTGATGATCTTGTTGGTTTTTATCGCTAGGCTATTAGTAGGGTCATTTTTTTTTTATTTCGAGTAACTTCCATCGTTGAGCATATTCTGGATTTTGTTGTTGTATGAATCTTTATCCATAATAACAGTAGCGTTGCCTTTATCGGCTGAGAGGATGACTATATCACTTCTGTTTTTTTTTAATTCGCGAGTTCAGAGCGTTCATTTTCGTTGATGTTACTAATGGGTTTTCTAGCGTTCTTAAGAATAGTGGCTATTTCAGCTCTCGCAACGTCTGTTTGGATGTGTCCTACGCCTTTGAGAGCTACATCGACCTGAGAGATGATATCATCTATTGGTATGTGTTTTGGGGTGACAGCAAAATTTAGTCCCCTAGCCAGGACTTTTTTCAGATTGTCCGAAATCGGGGTGCTACTCTGATTAATGACGATTTTGTTAAGATCTAGTTTTGTTATATGTGGAACTGGGTTCTTCTTTGATAGGTGGTTGAATTTAGAAATCAGGTTAGCTTTACATTTGACTGACAGTGACTCAGCAGAAGAAGCAGACATGTTGTCTACGTGATTCCAATCAGAAGGTGAAATTTTTTGTGTTAACATTAAATGAATTCTAGATTTAAAGCTTTCGTGACTGCTAGGATCCATACTCTTTGGTTCTATTGGGTAAAGTCACGTAGGTGAAAATAAAATAACAAAAAATCACGACGTTTCGGCCACAACACAAGCGGCCTTCATCAGGTGAAGGGACGAGACTGTCTGGAGGACAGCGCTGGAGTGGAAGAAGCCACGCTTAGATCACGACCTTTAAGCTGTGTGAGAAGAAAAAGACCACGGGCCTTGACAAAGGAATTAGCATATAATTTAGCATTGAAATGGCTCATTGAAATAGCTAAGTTAAAGTATACACATCCGCAGAGGTACCCCTGACAAAGGAATTGGCAACGAATTTAGCATTGAAATAGCTGAGTGATTAGCTTGTAACTGGTCACAGAAATAGCTATGTTAAAGTTAGAGCATATACATTCACCGAGGCACCTAGTACTCATCAAACGGGAGAATTTAGCGAAACACAACCACGATCAGACATTGGACCTGTGTGCGAGCAAACAAGGTGCTCTGACAAAGAAATTAGCATAAAAATTAGCATTTGATTGGCAGATTTTAGGAAAGAGGTGGTGTACGTGCCGGTGGACTTGCAGTTTGGCGTGGGGGGGGGGGGGGGGGGAAGGGGGGGGGGAGAGGGAGTTTACCTATTGATGGTGTGAAAAGGGAATTTATAAGAGCTGCGAAAGTTTGGGGTACCACTACTTGAAAAAAATATACTGTACCATTGAAATTAGTTTAATGTTTAGTTCGATTTAGAACATCTTTCCAATGGTTGCTTAATTTGAAACCATCCTCTCGGTTGAAATTGTGTCTGTGTTTGTAGATCTGAATTACTTCATGAACAAATCTCTGATAAAAGCCCATGGGTTTGCAAAGAACCTTGGTATCGGAGAAAATTATATCGTGATCCCCCACAGCGTTGTAACAGTGATCAACCACGGTAGAAGAATTCGCTTTGCCGTGTTTCAAATCTGATTTGTGCTCGCGAATTCGGTCAGAGACATGTCGCTTTGTCTCCCCGATATAGCAATCACCGCAGGTACAACTCAATTTGTAAACCCCGGGGTACTGTAAATCAGGAATGACATCCTTCACGGATGGGATCAGATCACGAATTTTGTGTACTGTATTGAACCGGACCTGGATCTTGTGTTTGTTTAGAATTTTGGAAATCTTTTTAGTAACGCCTGCTATATATGGAAGTGTGATGGTTTTGACCGGAGTATCAAGTGGTTGTTTCTGTATGGAGGGAGAAACAGCTTGGCGGATGGTACGGTCAGAGTAACCATTCCTTTTGAGGGCCAGGTGTACATGTTTTAATTCACTGGTCAGGTGGTGTTGGTCCGAAATGCAATGAGCCCTATGGTATAAAGTTTTTATGAGAGAATTCTTTTGGGCTGGGTGGTGGTGGGAATCAGGTTTCAAGTAGGAATCTGTGTGGGTGGGTTTCCTGTAGACAGAATGCCCCAATGAGCCATCAGGTCTCCTCTCAAACAGAACATCTAAGAATGGTAGCTTGCCATCTTTCGCCACTTCCATGGTGAATTTGATGGCGGGATGTCTGGAATTGATGTGGTGTAGGAAAAGGTTCAGAGCTGGGAGGCCATGTGGCCAAAGGACGAAAGTGTCATCCACATATCTCTTCCACAGGGAAGGTCTGAGTGTGGAAGTCTGGATGGCGTCTGATTCAAATTTCTCCATGAAAATATTGGCTATCACTCGTGATAAGGGGGATCCCATGGGGGTACCCTCATTTTGTTTGTAGAAGGAGCCATTCCAAGTAAAGTAGGTATTGTTGAGGCAG